TCAAGATTTGAAAAAATTTCCAGAACGAAAATTGAGATTTTTTAGCTTTTTGAAATTGCCATTTTGACAGCGATGTTAGAATTTTTTTCGATTAATTCGAACCCGCTGAATCAATTGGAAAAGTCAAAATTTCGAAAATATGAAAAATAAAAATTTCAAGTTTTCGATAGGTTGGACTAAAACCCCCCATAAGCAACGCCACTGGCCAAACAAAATACATGTTGCCAACTTGAAAAATAACCGACCAATAATAGCAACAAGAGCCTGGAATAAACAGAAATTGAAATTAAAAAGTGAAACATATATAAATATATCAAAAGAATACAAATTTATATAAAAATCAAAGGACCTCACACACCACTTATGGGTATTTGGTTTTCTGTCAAACAAATGAAATTTATAATTATGTTAATGGAGTTAAATTTTAATACATTACGAGGGATGTTTATAAAGTGTATGCCATTATTAAAAATATTAAAAATTGATGAAATTTTAAAATCACCAGAAATTGCCATTTTTCAAAAAGTTTTTCACCAATCACCAGAAAATAAAATCACCAGACCTGGTGAAATTTCACCAGACCTGGCATCACTGACCTACGTCCTCAAGCAGTAATATGCTGTATAAATTCAAAATGTCTGTAGCCGTATGCAAAATCTTCTTTTAAATAAAGACATCTTAGGATTGTTGAGTTTTGAGAAGATTTTCATGGGAATGTTCAACCTGAACCCTGTATTAAAAAAAAAAAACATATTATCATTTTGATAAGAGTTATTTTTTTTTTGTGCGTTTTCATTCAGCATTTATTGTTTTATCAGTGTTGTACTGCAAGATCGTAAGTAGGTATATTATTATAACTATAGCACTCCAGTGCAGTTGCAAATAGATACTGACTCAGATATTACCTTGATATCCGAAAATATAGGGGCTTACATAGGAAAACTAGAAGTTTACAGTACTAATCATCCTTATCAGAATTAACTTGCAAAATTTCTTTCAAAGGAAAGTGATAAACAGAAACATTTATTTTTACACACCTATCAGGAATTTCAATTTATCAGGAATCGACTAGATTGAGAAATTAAATTTATGGAACGTACCAATCAATTTAATTTGCAATATTAACAAAATTGATTATTTAATTGAAGATATAACTAGTTTTTCATTGAAATCAAGTGATTTGAAGACCATCTTGGAAAATGCACACAGTAGATTTTTTTTATTCACAAAGGAGTAAAGCGAGTGATTTTTCCCAGAAGACGGTAATATGGATCAAGTCGATTGTCCATCATATCCAAAGTGGAATATTTTGACTGGAGCAGCACCAAGAGTTGTTTCCAGAAAGGCTGAAATGTGAGAATTATTCTATTGGATTTTATCAGCCATCAAAATCACATCATTATCCATAACCAACTGCTGAAGACATATTTCCCAAACTTCCAAACTCCACCGTAGATCTTTCTGAAGCATTTCTGCAAATTGAGTGAAGATTTCAATTTTCATATAAAAGTTTAGAAATGTAGGTATGTTTGAGGTTAAAGAAATTCGATATTTGGAACATATTCTGAATACGCTAGTAGGTATGAAGCCACACTAAACTATTCAATGAATGCCACCACCTCACGATGTTTCGTCATTGAGATCCTTTCTTGGCGCCATAGATTACTATGGAAAACTCATCAAAAGCATTAAAACTTTGAGAAACTCATTGGATAAACTTTTGAAGAAAAACGAGAAATTTGAATGGACAGAAGACTGTCAGAGGTTATTTGAACAGTTTAAGACAATTCTTCAGTTAGATCTTGTATTTATTACTATCCACAACAACATATCATTGTAGCAGTAAACGCAAACAATCTGGGTATTGGAGGATGTATTTTTCATAGGTTTGAAGATGGAACAGAAAAAGCGATCTATCATGTTTCTAGAACTCTGACAGATACAGAGAAAAGATACAGCCAAATTGAAAAAGTGGCTTTAATATTAGTTTTTACAACGTATATAAAGTTAGCAGTGCAAATTTTGATGACTGGAAAAATTAGTGCTAATTAAATGCCAAGTTCACAAATTTTGTGCTCTTGTAGTTTCCGAGATATCGCCTGCACTGCTAGCTACCTGTTAAAGATACCAGTGCATGATCCAGGAATAATCCAGGAAAGTGGTAGGGTGATATAAATTATGAGGAAAATTGAATGCTAATTAAATGCTACCATTTCCATGAACAAAATTTCTATTTTCAGCTTTTTTTCGCATATTTTTTTAAAAACAAAGCTATGCACTGCTAGCATTATGCAGTACACATAGTGAGTTTTCATGAAAGAAGAGATTGATAGAGTTTTCGACATCGGAATAATTTAGTGCTAATTAAATGTCAAGTAACCAAATTTTGTGCTCTTGTAGTTTCCGAGATATGGCCTGCACTGCTATACCCGTTAATGATAGCAGTGCACCATCCAGGAATGATCCAGGAAAGTGGAAGCGTGATATAAATTATGAAAAAAATTAAATGCTATTTAAATGTTACCATTTCCATTAACAAAATCCCTATTTTCAGCTTTTTTTTGCCTATTTTTTAAAAACAACGCGGTGCACTACTAGCTTTATGCAGTACACATAGTGAGTTTTCATGAAAGAAGGGGTTGGTGGAGTTTTCCACATTAGAATAATTTAGTGCTTTGCTGACAATTGAGATTTTGTTAATGGAAATGGTAGCATTTAAATAGCATTTAATTTTTTTCATAATTTATATCACGCTACCACTTTCCTGGATCATTCCTGGATGGTGCACTGCTATCTTTAACAGGTAGCTAGCAGTGCAGGCGATATCTAGGAAACTACAAGAGCACAAAATTTGTGAACTTGGCATTTAATTAGCACTAAATTATTCAAATGTCGAAAACTCTACCAATCCCTTCTTCCATGAAAACTCAATATGTGTACTGCATAAAGCTAGCAGTGCACTGCGTTGCTTTTAGAAAATATTCGAAAAAAAAGCTGAAAATAGAGATTTTGTTCATGGAAATGGTAGCATTTAATTAGTATTCAATTTTCCTCATCATTTATATCACCCTACCACTTTCCTGGATTATTCCTGGATGATGCACTGCTATCTTTAACATGTAGCTAGCAGTGCAGGCGATATCTCAGAAACTACAAGAGCACAAAATTTGTGAACTTGGCATTTAATTAGCACTATTTTTACCAGTCATAAAAAATTTGCACTGCTGACTTTGCACTGCTAACTTTCTATACGTGTTTTTACAGATGATATACGGAAGATTTTTTGTTCACAAGTCGGAGGTTTGCATATTTTTGATAAATCTCAGATCATTACCAACCACGTTCAAAAATATTTATCAAGAAACACGCAGACACAATGCATTAAGAAATATTTGATACTACGTTCAATATTCATGGCCTTTCAAACATCAACAAAATTCAGATGAAATGAAGTTTTACTCACGAAAAGATGATTTATCCATAGTACGAAGATGTTTGATGTTTGGAAGCCGAGTAGTGGTTTCAAAAGCTCATTGTTATCAAGAATTCAAATAGTAACATCAAGAACAACAACCCAACATTGATAAAGACTTCACAAAATTTGATCGAAAGTGCCCTTTATGTGCAGAAACTAAAAGGATACCAAGAAAAGAGATATCACTTTGCCCTATTGTATAGAATATTTGAGAGAGACTTCACATAGACTATATAGGTCCTGTGATAGGAAATTATACCAATTCCCAGGTGGCCAGAAGTTTTCACAAGAAATATAGCTTTAAAATTTACGATTTTAAAACTAGAAGTAATTATTTTTAAACTCGGAATTCCTAATACTATTTATTGTCTCTGATAATGTGGTTCACAATATTTACTAGTGAATTATTGTTTAAAGAAGGGCATTCAACATAATATTATTCGTACAGCTCCATACTCACCACAATCCAATGGTCAAGCTGAAAAATATGTGGATACATTGGAAAGAGCATTGATGAAAATGACAAGCCAAAGGAAGAACATATAAGCCAGTTCCTAGTTTACACCAAATGTCAATTCTCCAGATGGAATATTTATTGGGAAGAAAAATGCGGATAGTAATGGATTTGCTAATGCTACAAGACAAATCAAGTATTGATAGATGAATACCAAGAATCACAAATATTCCCCATGAAGAGAACATTTCAACCAGAAGCTTTGGTATATGCAATTTAGAAGACATTTTTATACTTGATGGATGCTGGGAGTGATCATGGAAAAAATTGAAAAATTCATGTTTAATGTCCATGTACCACGTCTTCTCAAATTACGTGTCAATCAACTGAAAAGGAGATAAAATGATTAGGTTGAAGAAATCAACTTTAGAATTCCACTAAATTTGTTATTGGATACTTTCAAAATAAATATACCAAATCATGACCCAAAAATAGGAAATAGAAATGAATATGGGAAAAATTCATCAATTCATTTTACTCTAACATTTCCTCAAACAGATAATGGGTTTGTAGAAGATGTGAAAATTCCACAAAAATAAAGTACAAAATGATGACACATCACTTCATCATCACTAATAAGTTCAAAAAAACTTAAACAGTGTTCGAATTGACTTCCGAACAAACCATAGTAAGTCAAAGTTTCAGTTTTGAAAGTATCCAAAAAAACTGGTTCCAAAGTGTCCAGAGTAGCTTTTGAATCATCAGTTAAGTTATATAGAGTTAATAATGCTTCTTCTACAATGAGACTCTTTACCTTTAAGTTAATGGTAAAATTTGCTGTAGAGCCAGATTTTTCAAAATTCATTGTCTCTTTTCTTAGCTAATTTATCATATTTTCTTGCTTATGCCAAATAGAAACTCAAATTTAAGTAAAACTTGCGTAACAACCCTATTATGCGAAAGAATTAAGAATTCAACTTGATGAAAACTCAATTAGGTATCATTCAGAATGGAGTTAATACCTATTGTCTTTGATAAAAAAAATCTTCAATAAGTACTTAAACTTTTCAGCAACTAGTTGAAAAACAGAAACAATTCATTCTTGTAAGAGTCGACCAAGAAAATCCAACCTCTGACGACGACGAGCTCGATTACAATGCTCAAACATTGCAAAATATCACATTAGAGCACGAGAAAATACTCAAAAGGCAAAAAGAAATGGAGGAATTGCAAACGAACATCGTGGACATCCACGAAATTATGAGCGAATTGGGTGCCATGCTGGATGAGCAAAAAGAAGCAATAGGTATGAGCATTATTTATATTTATATTTTGTTTTAATTAATGCTTAATTGTTTTTAGATAATGTAGAGAAAAATATAGGTGAAGCTGATATTAATATTGAAAAAGGTGCCCACGAAACTGAAATAGCTTTAATGCACCAAGCAAGTTCCACTAAAAAACGTCTAATTATTTTATTAATTGCTGTATTATTAATTATTTCATTGTCTGTTTTATTGTATTTTAAGCTCAAATAAATACAATAGTGTATATTTTTCTTCAAATTTGATCAAAATAATAAATTAAAGCCGCGGCAAAAAGGCAACATCAGAAAAGAGAACCCCGTTCATTGTTCGGCCTTACAGAAACACGGCATTGTGTTGTCTATTATTTCGGACTCTTGATGGCCCGAAGAAATACATACATATAGTAGGCAAGGGAATATTCATATAAAGAGAGGACTCTGTTTTAAATTGACAGTCGGTATTAACTGGCTACTTGTTGGTACTCGATTGAAGTGTTTCTGATGTTAAGTAGGTAGGTACCTATTTGTTTTTGTGGTATCGATATTGTTAGTTGGGAATGGGTTCTTGATGGGCTGTCAATTAAGTCAAATAATATTGGTTGCAATTGCTTGATTATTTCAATTTGTAGATTGTAGATTGCATTTGAAGTCGATATCAAAAAAGCTTCTGGAAAAAATCACGTGTCCAAGTCCAACTTAATAGAAGTTTTGGGAAATTCGCGAGTAAACAAAGCGTGGAAACTTCTAAAGAGTATTGATTCAGCGGGTATAAACCTCATAGATCTTAAAAAATAGACAAACTACTAACAGAAGATAGACTACAATTTCAAAGTGATGAAATTGAGAAAACGGAAAGATTCCTAAGCCTGGCAACAATGGCAACCTAAATATTCAACTGGAAAAAGCCGCCCCAGTGAAACTAATAGAGATCCTTTCGCAGATTTTCCCCAAATGTCTTAGAGGAGAACAACCACCACTAGAAAGTGGCACTTCAAAAAGGAGACTGCAAAAACTATAGAGGGATCACCGTCACAAACTCACTATCCAGATTTTATGGATGTATTCTGGAAAACAGAATAGAAATCGAGTTCCAAGAATCAGAGGAACAAAATGGTTCTGGGGTAGGACGTTCTTGTATAAATGGAGTGTTTACTCTTGAAAATCTTGTTGGAAAAAGAGTAAAAAGAGGTAGACACGTTCACTTGACCTTTGTGGACTTGCAGAAATCCTATGACACAGTGTCATATTGAGTAAGTTGTAACCAGCAATGTATCTGAATAGGATAAAATTCATATGTAAATGCTGTCAAAGCTCTGTTTACCAATACATACAGCTCAGTCAAACAAGATCGACAACTTTCCGAAAAGTTCCCAACAACAAAAGGTCTAAGGCTGCTGTATGTTTAACAAAGAAATTCTGGCACTAAAAAAAGAAAATGAGGAAATGAGTAGGGAACTAAACAAACTTAAAGGTCAATCCATAATCAAGGTCCAAGGATATTGAAAATAGTGCCAATAATAAGAGAAAGCAAATTGGAAAAATTGTCAGCACCTTATTTACCTAAATGATGACATGTAAAAGGAAACTAAAAAGTTGCTTCTGTTAGCCAGATCTCTTATTCAATGTGGGTATAAATTTGTCTGGGTCAAAGAGGGAAAAATATTTGCGAGAAAGAATGAAAATGATCCACTTCTAAGAATCAATAGTATGAAAGATATCGAGAAAATAAAGCAAGGCGATTTATAACTGAAAATCATGAAAAGTTGATTTTAAGCTAACTCAATCAAGCCAATTTTCATTGAAATTCAACTCTAACTAATTCAATCAAGCCTTTTTCCATTCTAGACTTTCCCCTAGAATTGAATTAGGAATAAACTGACCACCAAAAGGTTTCTTGGAGAGCAATATAAAAATAAGCTGATAATACTTACCTACCAGCTCTGTTTCAGATCATCATCCCTTATTGGGAAGAAATTTTGTCATGTCAAGATCCCAATACCGTCTCCAAAATTCTCATGAATACCTTAAAAAAACATATACTTGTTGCAATAGACAAATGTGAAAAGAATTTCAAATAAAAAATTTCGTCCTAAACCATGGATTACTGCAGGCTTATTTGCTTCCATTAGAAACAGAGATAAATTACATTAACTCCGTAATCCATTAGATGAAACGGTTCGCAATAATTAATAATTAAAGAAATACCAAAGTTATTAGATATACGAAAGCTAACTATTATAAACAAAAATTGGAAGTTGCAAATGGTGATCCGAGAAAGATTTGAGAAGTAATAAAACAGGCTACCAATGAATGGGACATAAACTCGAATATCCCATGTATTAGGAATAGCAACAATAATCAAGAAGTCTATGGATCAGAGGCAAGGGGCAGGTAACTAATGAATTGAATGTGTTATTTAGTTCTGTAGGTCAAAACTAGCTAGTAAAATATTAAGTAAGCCTAAAAATATTCGAGATAGTGTAATCGGACAGCGGCAGTTTCCTTTCATGCTTTATATACCCTGTTAATGAAGATGAAATTATTAATGCTGTGACATTGCTGAAGCCATGTTTTTCTGATGATGATTTTGGTGTCTCCTACCGGATTGTAAAATCTAATTTTAGAGTTTTGCTTTCCCATGAGTGATAGGCAAATGATGTAGATAAAAACCTTAGAGGAGTAGTAACATGAAGTTGGAAAATGGAGCCGTTTTTTTTTTTCCAGTTATTTTGGCACCAAAAAATGGCGATATAGGGAATTTCAATGCTTTACCCGTATTTGGTGCCAAACACCTATCAAAACATGGCTTCCTTTGATAGCAGAATGGCGCGTCCTATCCAATGAACTATAACCAAAAACTGGAATGCTAACACATAAGGACGAACGTGAAGCCTAGTGCGGCTGCTGCGGAGGGGATACCTGTTTTTGTCGCACTCATTCTGTTAAATGGCGAAAATTGCTTCCAACACGTATTCCAATTGATGAAACCTGTGAAGGGAAATATGACAAAACTTTCGAAAACGTCATATGTCAGCGAGCAACAGAAAAAAACAACATTCCCCGTTGTGGCATCTGTCTTTCATGGCTTCATTTTTTTGGCAGATATGGCACTGTGTGCGCATTCCAGTTTTTAGCTGTAGTTCATTGGTCCTATCTCTTATGTCCGTAGAACAGTGCTTTACCTGCTCTAAGTGCGCGTTCACATTGACACCGCTCGAGCGGTGAGCGTTGCACGATGCCGCTGTAGCGATGCTCAAAAATAATTTTAACGTCAGATTTCAAATGAACATGTTAACAGCGCGCGACACGCCGCCTCAGTGTGAACTTGTTCATTTGAAATATAATGTTAAAATTGTTTTTGCACAACGCTCACCGCTCGAGCGGTGTTAATGTAAACGCGCACTAAAGTAAATACTGTTACGTTTTACGATGCGCTCTCGCCACTCGGGCATGGTATTATCGAATGTAATACCACAAGAGGTTTCAGGATTACCGGATAATACTTTTACCTGTCACGAAACGCGTTACGCAGCAATACCACGACTCCGAAGGAGGAGTGGTATTGCTGGTAACGCGTTGAGTGTCAGGTAACAGTATTAGGTAATCCTGAAACATCGAGTGATATTCAAAAGGTTATACAACGAACTAAACTTCAATACTTTATTAATTTTTATTGGCAAATGAACAATATTGCCACCAAGCGCGATAATCCTAAAAGGCTTATCACTTATTAAGCCTCTCGTGTCATATGGGAATAATGTACAGTGAGTTGTATAATCGCGTTTATTCTGGATTTCTATATGAATTTTACAGATATATAAAGGCCGGTATTAGTTTGTAGTTTTTAAGTTTGAGTTTGGTTGTTATACGATTAAGATAGTGAATATTGTTAAGAGTTGTAAAGAGTTAAGTTGTTTGAGTTAATTAGTGAAGTAATTAGTATCAGAGTGTATTGGAACGTAGTATAAATTATTGCTGTGTTAATTGGACTTTGATTTTGGAATGAACGGACCCAAGATTTCTGTCACGCAAGCCAGAGCTGTGACATTAGTGTAAAAAGTAAGACATAATTTGAGGACTGCAAAGTGAAATCCGATTGCAGAATAGTGGCTGGGTGGACACTAGTGTGAACACTATAGTGAACACTGGGACAGTTAATCAATGTAAGCAGTGACAATCACTAAAAGAGACTTAACCGATCGTGTAAATTACCCCAGAAGTGATTGTATACCCGATTTGACTATCTATGTAATAGTGAATTTTCGAGTAAGTTCTAGAAAAGAGGGAGATATCGAATTTCTGACTTTGCCGACGTATTCGAAACATCAATCGTCATTCAGAAAAAGAATTTCGAGGGGTTTCGAGAAAAATCTCGAACATTCTATGCGAAAATTACAGAAAATATTGTATCCACAAAAACACACCTTGAGAGCATAGAAATTACACAAAGTGAGCATGAAATGGAAATATTTGGCAGACTGAAAATGTCAGATCTAAAAGCTGAAATAAACTCAGCCGAAAATGAAATGGGACACCTCGAAATATCACTATATTTGGAAAGCTGTAACTTTTGTAATTTCATTCCGATGGTGAATTTCAAACTAGTGTTGGGAAGCCCTAACTTTATACTTTTTTCAGTGGTGGCAAATCCGCTTTTGGCCGAATCTTTCTTATATACAGGGTGCTGAATTTATCAGCATGCAAAATTTGAGAAATTCATCGCAGAATCTGAAAATAATGACGCATAGTGTAATGATTGTTTATGTATAGGGTGAATCACTAGATGGACACCTCTAGACGTTTTTGCAATTTTTATGATATCTTACGTTGCTATGGAGATATAGCTGTTTTTGTCAAATATGATTTTTTTCTTAAATTTGTCTATTGAATTAGGAGGAGGAGGGGAGAAAAATGGAGGAATAAGCACAAAAAGGACTAAAATGAAACCCTTCACTTCCAGTAGGTACCTACCTACCAGTGGCGTGCGTATGGAGGCTTACATTTTAAGAAATGTATGTTTTAAATTTATTTTGGTGCTTGATAAGGGAGTAAGGCGGTGAAGGGGGGGGGGAGAAGAAATAAGTAGCAGTGACGTGCAAGAAGGGGTTCAATTTCTTTAATTCAAACATTAACAAATAGAGTAACAATACTAAAAAAGAAACAAAACAAAAATGAAAACTAATAACTTGTTGCCCTCCCCCCTCTATTTTGAAGCGCCTGAGCATGCTAGAA